TCTCCATTTATCTCCGTCTCCTCTCATAAACACATACACACGCACGCACACATGCACACACTTCAACCTACTGGCTTTTCTCCTCCAAATTTAACACTCTAATTTGGTAGAGGGCTGGCTGCCGTGTTATTGATGTTGCCAGAGGTCTGATCCATCTAGAGCCTGGGACAAGGCTTCAGTCAAAATGGCTATAACTCAGAGGCATCCTGCTCCCTGTTTGCCAGAGTATCAGACCAGCATTGGTAATTTAAAGGTTGGATAGACAGCCAATATTACTGTATGCACCTGCCTCGCTTCATCACCCTAAAGGGCCGGATGCCAGTGCTCCGAAGCATTTGGTAAATTTCCATGCTTGTTGAGACACGTTGGATTGGAAATCAATTTTTGTAACTTTTCGTAGTTGCAAACTTCAACAAATGCGGTCTTTAGAATTATACAATATGGAAATTAAGATAAAATAAATTTTAAAAAGAAAATAAATGTCTCTACTTTTCACAGTGTTCACAGAGAGGGATTAGCACATATCCTGTGTGTGTGTTTGTATATGATGGTGTGACATGTGGGATGGATTAGAGAGGTTTACTTCAGAGTGAGCTCTGCATGCTGGTGCTTCTTCACATATCTTTTTTCCCTTATGTATGTGTTTGTGTTTGAGTGTGTGTGTCCACCCATCTGTGTGGGTTTAGCTGGAGGGCAAAGCGACAAGGGATTGGAAAAGCTGGGTGTTTCGTTATATACCATTGTCTTATCACAGAGATATATAGCCAAACAGGACACAGAGGGGCTGAGCCTGATCAGACAGCGATGAATGAAGATCGGAAGGAAGCACAGACATGTAAAAAAATTTATTTAAAAAAGAAAAAGGAGGAGAGGAAAAAGAAAACATGGGGAGGAACAATGTGCTCTCTGGATGCCCACAGGACTATGGTTAGTGTAGTCTCTGATCATTGATTAAAGAGCTTTATGTTCTCCTACCCACAGCATTGTGGAGGACACGCTCACCTCTCTCAAGCACTGCCTCAACCCTCCCGCCCCCTATTCTTACTTCCCAGGGCTGTCCATCCTCCTGCCCTTTCCCTTCTCTCTGTCTCTATCTCTCTGAAGTAATGGGCAGACAACCATTGCTGTAATTTCCTCTGTACTAAAAACTGACAACTATAAAAGGTCACACAGAGGAAGTGGTCTCATGCTTCTAATCACTCAACAAGAGCAGGGCCACTCAGTCCATTCAAATATCACCATGATAAAGACAAAATGTCCTCTACTACTGACTGTTTTCTTTTCTTTTTCTGATGTAATAAACAGTTGAACACAGAGAGTATAGTGTTTACATTTTTTTTTTAAATGCCCTTGAGCTGCACTTATATAAACAGTTTTTTCCTTCTCTGAATAAAATAATTTGGCAGGATTTACACGTTCACTAAATTAAATGATTGCATAATGGGTCATGGTCATGCTCCATGGAAAGCATTCATAAAATGTGAAATATATTGAATGCATGCACCTCAAGCAAACAAGACAGAGTTGAGCCTACGTTATTGGTTTGCTGTGGTGCATTCGACTGAAATCAAAATCTATCTCCTACTCCTGTTGTTATTAAACGGATGAAAGCTCATCTCCTGCTTTACAGCTCCCTGTAAACTAGAAAACATCACTCGACCAAATCTGATTTCTCCTGTGGGGATGACTTCATTCGATATATTCAGACTTTTTATTTTAATATATATAATAATTTTTAAATGTATATACCAGTCAAAAGTTTGGACACACCTTCTCAATGTCTTCATACTGAAAACATCAAATATGCTAAAACAAGATATAGAATTGGTGTATATTTTAGATTCCTCAAAGTAGCCACCCTTTGTTTTATTGACAGCGCTGCAAACCCTTGGCCTTTTCTCAGTGAGCTTCATGATGTAATCACCTG